TGTAGTGTCTCTACTTGAAAGAGTCCTCTCCTGCTGATGTTCAGGTGTATATCAGTATGTAGTGTCTCTACTTTAAAGAGTCCTCTCCTGCTGATGTTCAGGGTGTATATCAGTATGTAGTGTCTCTACTTTAAAAGAGTCCTCTCCTGCTGATGTCCAGGTGTATATTAGTATGTAGTGTCTCTACTTTAAAGAGTCCTCTCCTGCTGATGTTCAGGTGTATATCAGTATGTAGTTTTTCTACTTTAAAGAGTCCTCTCCTGCTGATGTTCAGGTGTATATCAGTATGTAGTGTCTCTACTTTAAAGAGTCATCTCCTGCTGATGTTCAGGTGTATATCAGTATGTAGTGTCTCTACTTTAAAGAGTCCTCTCCTGCTGATGTTCAGGTGTATATCAGTATGTAGTCTCTACTTTAAAGAGTCCTCTCCTGCTGATGTTCAGGTGTATATCAGTATGTAGTGTCTCTACTTTAAAGAGTCCTCTCCTGCTGATGTTCAGGTGTATATCAGTATGTAGTAGTCTCTACTTTAAAGAGTCCTCTCCTGCTGATGTTCAGGTGTATATCAGTATGTAGTGTCCTCTACTTTAAAGAGTCCTCTCCTGCTGATGTTCAGGTGTATATCAGTATGTAGTGTCTCTACTTTAAGAGTCCTCTCCTGCTGATGTTCAGGTACATATCAGTATGTAGTGTCTCTACTTAAAGAGTCCTCTCCTGCTGATGTCCAGGTGTATATCAGTATGTAGTGTCTCTACTTTAAAGAAGTCCTCTCCTGCTGATGTTCAGGTGTATAGCAGTATGTGGTGTCTCTACTTTAAAGAGTCCTCTCCTGCTGATGTTCAGGTATATATCAGTATGTAGTGTCTCTACTTTAAAGAGTCCTCTCCTGCTGATGTCCAGGTGTATATCAGTATGTAGTGTCTCTACTTTAAAGAGTCCCTCTCCTGCTGATGTCCAGGTGTATATCAGTATGTAGTGTCCTCTACTTTAAAGAGTCCCTCTCCTGCTGATGTTCAGTTGTATATCAGTATGTAGTGTCTCTACTTTAAAAAGTCCTCTCCTGCTGATGTTCAGGTGTATATCAGTATGTTTTGTATCTACTTTAAAGAGTCCTCTCCTGCTGATGTTCAGGTGTATATCAGTATGTAGTGTCTCTACTTTAAAGAGTCCTCTCCTGCTGATGTTCAGATGTATATCAGTATGTAGTGTCTCTACTTTAAAGAGTTCTCTCCTGCTGATGTCCAGGTGTATATCAGTATGTAGTGTCTCTACTTTAAAGAGTCCTCTCCTGCTGATGTCCAGGTGTATATCAGTATGTAGTGTCTCTACTTTAAAGAGTCCTCTCCTGCTGATGTTCAGGTGTATATCAGTATGTAGCGTCTCTACTTTAAAGAGTCCTCTCCTGCTGATGTTCAGGTGTATATCAGTATGTAGTGCCTCTACTTTAAAGAGTCCTCTCCTGCTGATGTTCAGGGTTATATCAGTATGTAGTGTCTCTACTTTAAAGAGTCCTCTCCTGCTGATGTTCAGGTGTATATCAGTATGTAGTGTCTCTACTTTAAAGAGTCCTCTCCTGCTGATGTTCAGGTGTATATCAGTATGTAGTGTCTCTACTTTAAAGAGTCTTCTCCTGCTGATGTTCAGTTGTATATCAGTATGTAGTGTCTCTACTTTAAAGAGTCCTCTCCTGCTGATGTTCAGGTGTATATCAGTATGTAGTGTCTCTACTTTAAAGAGTCCTCTCCTGCTGATGTTCAGGTGTATATCAGTATGTAGTGTCTCTACTTAAAGAGTCTTCTCCTGCTGATGTTCAGGTGTATATCAGTATGTAGTGTCTCTACTTTAAAGAGTCCTCTCTCTGCTGATGTTCAGGGTATATCAGTATGTAGTGTCTCTGCTTTAAAGAGTCTTCTCCTGCTGATGTTCAGGTGTATATCAGTATGTAGTGTCTCTACTTTAAAGAGTCTTCTCCTGCTGATGTTCAGGTGTATATCAGTATGTAGTGTCTCTACTTTAAGAGTCCTCTCCTGCTGATGTTCAGGTGTATATCAGTATGTAGTGTCTCTACTTTAAAGAGTCCTCTCCTGCTGATGTTCAGGTGTATATCAGTATGTAGTGTCTCTACTTTAAAGAGTCCTCTCCTGCTGATGTTCAGGTGTATATCATATGTAGTGTCTCTACTTTAAAAAGTCCTCTCCTGCTGGGTTCAGGTGTATATCAGTATGTAGTGTGTCTTCTTTAAAGAGTCCTCTCCTGCTGATGTTCAGGTGTATATCAGTATGTAGTGTCTCTACTTTAAAGAGTCCTCTCCTGCTGATGTCCAGGTGTATATCAGTATGTAGTGTCTCTACTTTAAAGAGTCCTCTCCTGCTGATGTCCAGGTGTATATCAGTATGTAGTGTCTCTACTTAAAAGAGTCCTCTCCTGCTGATGTTCAGGTGTATATCAGTATGTAGTGTCTCTACTTTAAAGAGTCCTCTCCTGCTGATGTTCAGGTGATATAAGTATGTAGTGTCTCTACTTTAAAGAGTCCTCTCCTGCTGATGTCCAGGTGTATATCAGTATGTAGTGTCTCTACTTTAAAGAGTCCTCTCCTGCTGATGTCCAGGTGTATATCAGTATGTAGTGTCTCTACTTTAAAGAGTCCTCTCCTGCTGATGTTCAGGTGTATATCAGTATGTAGTGTCTCTACTTTAAAGAGTCCTCTCCTGCTGATGTTCAGGTGTATATCAGTATGTAGTGTCTCTACTTTAAAGAGTCCTCTCCTGCTGATGTTCAGTTGTATATCAGTATGTAGTGTCTCTACTTAAAAGTCCTCTCCTGCTGATGTTCAGGTGTATAATCAGTTTTTTGTATCTACTTTAAAGAGTCCTCTCCTGCTGATGTTCAGGTGCATATCAGTATGTAGTGTCTCTACTTTAAAGAGTCCTCTCCTGCTGATGTTCAGATGTATATCAGTATGTAGTGTCTCTACTTTAAAGAGTTCTCCTGCTATCAGTATGTAGTGTCTCTACTTTAAAGAGTCCTCTCCTGCTGATGTCCAGGTGTATATCAGTATGTAGTGTCTCTACTTTAAAGAGTCCTCTCCTGCTGATGTTCAGGTGTATATCAGTATGTAGCGTCTCTACTTTAAAGAGTCCTCTCCTGCTGATGTTCAGGTGTATATCAGTATGTAGTGCCTCTACTTTAAAGAGTCCTCTCCTGCTGATGTTCAGGGGTATATCAGTATGTAGTGTCTCTACTTTAAAGAGTCCTCTCCTGCTGATGTTCAGGTGTATATCAGTATGTAGTGTCTCTACTTTAAAGAGTCCTCTCCTGCTGATGTTCAGGTGTATATCAGTATGTAGTGTCTCTACTTTAAAGAGTCCTCTCCTGCTGATGTTCAGGTGTATATCAGTATGTAGTGTCTCTACTTTAAAGTCCTCTCTTGCTGATGTTCAGGTGTATATCAGTATGTAGTGTCTCTACTTAAAGAGTCTTCTCT